CTCGTCCTCAGGTTCTCTGACCCTCTGTGAGTGACACACGCTCTCACTGAACCCCCTTGTCCTCAGGTTCTCCGACCCTCTGTGAGTGACACGCTCTCACTGAACCCTCTCATCCAGTTCCTCGGGTTCTCTCTTCCCTTTATGTTTCACAGCTTTGATCCAATCTTAGAACCTTCCGGCAGCGTCACCCATCTTTTGGACTACTTGGATTTTCGCGATCTTGTAATAAGGCTTTTTATTCTATACTCCTTGCTGTTTGATTTATGAATTTTACAGAAGGTGCCTTAAACCGCCACAGGAGATTATTGGCTTACTCGTATTTTTAATTTTTCATCAGTTGAAAGTCTTCATGTTTTCCTGAATCTTCAAACGATTTTTATTGATGCTTTTTAAGCGGCTGCACGTGCGGCTACGTTTCTTTAAATAAACTAAACAAGTTACCTTCATTTCTTAATATTAAAATTACATATCCTTCTCGACTCTGAAAGGCGGACCCTGGTGAAACCGTGGGGTAAATATTGGCCTCCTAACTACAAGGAGCTCTGAGAGCGTAGTGGGTACGAATCAGGCTGCGAACCGCAAGGTCAGCAGTTGGAAACTACCAGCTGCTCTGTGGGAGAAAGATGAGGCTTTCTGCTCCCGTAAAGATTTACAGCCTCGGAAACCCTGTGTAGGGTCACTATGAGTCGGAACCGACTCCACGGCACATAACAACAACAACTACAAGATTGGTAGTTCAAATCCACCAGCTGTAACACTGTCTGCTCCCATGAAGATTTACAGGCTCAGAACCCATGCTGTGCCCTACAGGGCTGCTGAGTCCACTCTGAGCCCTGTGGCGTCCAGTGTGGTCACAGTGCATGAGGAGCTACTCTTAGTTGTACTCCTGTCTGGTTCTGAACTATTTCCTTTGTTTGGACCATCCAGATCTCTCTTCTCCCTTAATTGTCTAAATGTAGATATAGCTAATCTTCTAGATTACCCAGCATGCTGGAGATTGCCCCTCTGAATTTTGTGCAGTTTTGGTCAACGTTCCCAATAAACCATTTAATTACCAAAGCAGAACTGACAAAATTGAGATTCTAAGAAAATGTCTCAGCAACACTTAAATGACAGGACTGGACTTCTTCCTTGGGTTCAATGATAAGAAAAGGATTTTGAAAATATGATTCAAGCAGCGGACAACACAGATAAATCATTGTGGTTGCTGTCTTAAAAATTATCTAAATTCTTGACTTGGTAAAAGAAAGTATTCCAGGATCTTCAAACCAAACAATAAACTGGCAGGGCTCATTGTTAAAACAGAAAACAAACAGATAATGCTGACTCAGATTATAAGCACGAAGCAGCTCTTAGAGACTTCATTCAACACAAAAGGCATTACCTTGGTCACAGAAGGTGTTTGTTTAAATCCATATCCAGGCGAACTTTATTTGGTTTTCACAAAACATTTTATTACATCTTTAAAGAGAACAGTACTTTTTCAGAGAGCAAACAGATGCAAACTATTGTTTCAATTGTGGTTTTGCTCCATGATTTACCTTTAAAAATCATTCGTTTATAAAGTGTCCCAACTTTTACCACAGGAAGTTTCCCATCATTAAATTATTCGTCATGCTTCATGTTAAGTTAGCTACATGACTAGTAGAAACATGTTTCCAGTAGATATTTCGACAATTCATTATGAAAAATAACTTACTTGTGACCTAAATGCTTCAGAAAGTATCCCAGCACCTTCAGAGCTTGAACCCAAATACTTTCACTTTTAGAAGCCAGTAACTTGTAGATCACTCTAAAACAAAAACATAAGCATGTACATGATCATTGTAATCATCGAAGCACTTAATAGCCTGAACACTGCATGTGTCACACAAAAATTATGTAAAATCTCAAATGTCTCTCAGCATACTTATGATACCTTGTAAAAACTTGAAAATTAGGATGTTTTAATCATTTTCCCGCGAGTTTGGCCTTCTAATACATATTAGAAATGGTAATGCCACTTAGTTGTTTTATAAGTACTGCCTTCCAGAACAGTAAACGGAAATTCTAAGCATTAAGATATGCTTATTCCACACCCCTTTTTTGAGAATCGTTCCCCAACAAGCAAACCTCTCGTCATGGTGAATGGGAGTGTGGGCAGACGTCGGCCTAATTCTTTCTCTTCTATAGGAATCAAATGGTGCTAAGAAACAAGATCTAGTCTGTGTTTGACTCTTGAATTAGGACACAACTAGGACAGCTGTGGTTTATTCCTGGTCAGAGAGGCTGAGAGAGCTGGTCTACATTAAGAAGGAAGCGGCTTCTGAGCACCAGAGAATGCTAACTTGTTTCCTGATGACTTCAGTTCTGGGTTCCTATCCTTGTTCTAGTTTAATGGGCACCCTATCCTATTTTTGTTTTAACTGAAGAACTAGAATGTTACTAGTAGGGCAAAAAGCTCCTCCTAGCACACAAGCCAGAGTCCTGGTATGGTGCTGTGTGGGATAATGCACGGAACTGCAAGGTCGGTTTCAAGGGCAGGGTTGGCAGTTCCAATGCACTAGCTACTCCGCAGAAATCCCAGATAGGCTCGCTATGGGTCAAACCCGACTCGAAGGCACTTACCAACAACACGCACGTAAGCCAGCCTATGCAGTCTATGGGGCAGGGCCAACATGCCTTGTAATATTCACAGGTACTTTAGAAACTGATCCTACTACTTATTTTCCTTTTTTTAAAAAAGTAAACATTTCTCATACAGTATAGTGGGGCAATGACATGTATTTTTTCAACTAAATCTAGATTCTAAAAGGTTCTTCCAGTGGTAAAAATGGCTGCCTTATAAAATTAGGATGTGCTTTATTGTATTTTTATTTTTGTCAAATAAAGTGTCTTTGTTTATCTCAAAGGTGATGTGATCTAGACTGAAAAGAAGCTGGTAGTAGAAAGTGGAAGTATAATTTTGAAGCTTAAGTGGCTTTTATAAAGGCAAGTAAATTATTTAAAAATCAATGGTATCAATTTGACTTTAGGGTTCCTATGAGTCGGTATCGACTCAATGGCAATTAACAATACTGTAAAGAAAATAAAAATCTGTTGCTATGGCTTCATTATTTTGAGTTTAATATATTGAAAAGATTATGAGAACAGATACATTCAAATAACTATATTCCTTGGAAGGAGATTTTTTTTTCCTCCAAAATCCCTGAATTCCTCAGTTGAGGGGGCTGCAGAAAGTTGTTGGAAAAACTCCATTATTTTTTCATTACATTTGTCCACGTACTTCTAGATGCGCCTCGTTTATGCATGTGTCTACATTGAAGACTACTAACAGAACACTTAGGGACCAAGATCACAATGGAGAAAGAAAATCTCTGAACAGGAAAGCTATACATGCAAATGACTCAGAAAATGGCATACAGAATATTCAACAGCAGATATAATTTGAAGGACTGAATTATAAGCTCTGAATCTACAAGTATGGCTCTACCCACGTACACAGTGGGAGACTTCCACAGCACATCAGGAGTCCTGGTGCGGCGCTGCAGGATAAGTACCAGACCACAAGGGCAGTTGTAACTGCAAGGTCAGTGTTCAAACTCAAGTAGCCAGTGCACAGAAAACCCATGTAGACAGGGTCATGGAGAGTCAGAACCGATTTGACAGCACGCCACCACAGCAGCCCATCAATTCCCCAGGAATGACTCTGAGTTAGAGGGGAAATGACTAAATAAGGACCCACAGAGGATTTTCTTCACAAACTAAGATACACTATAGCAATAGGAAACTTACTAGCAAGTTCATGCTCAAGATAATTCAGTCAGAAAGGGTAGAAACTAAGTAAAACAGACAGTTATTTACAGTTATTAGAAAAATTACAAATAACCAATTCTGTTGTAGTTGATTACTTTGGTGATTTTATCATTACAAAGGGCTTCCTAAATCCAATTAAATTATCAACCAGAATGAAATAAAGTTCCTTTTTGGTTCAATTCTTATTATATATAAATTATATCAAAATCTCTTCCCAAATTTTTTCATAAACTGTTACCCTTTAGTGACTATTTTCAAAGGCGCCCT